AAGCTCGCAAGCCTGGAGAGATTCGCTTGATGGGGGGAAGAATAGTGATCACTATATGTCTTCATAAGGTTCATAACCCGGCTTCGTAAAGGATACAACCTTCAAGTTGTCTCCCGAGAACACTTGAGGAACTTACAACAAATCAATCGTTGCATGTTTTGGACAACTCGTGGATATTGTCAGGGTACTTGGCAGCCACAGTAGCATGGGACAAAGACTGTCAAACAGTAGGGGTGCGCATTCTTCATGATGGTTGATTTTGTGATGGGTGGGACCTATTTTCAAGAGGAGTGTCCCTAGCAGCTTTGTCAAGACTCCTTATACAAAATGGTTTTTGGGCCCAGGAAGGATTCAAGACATAAGACATGGGAATTGTATACACTCCCTGAAATCATGGAAGTGGAACAGGGTCCCCCTGGATCAGCGTGAAATCTGCATACCAAACAGGTGGTATCAGGTGGTTCTCACACCACGAGACCATGATGATTTCAGGGGAGTGTATCCCCTCACGTAACTGCGGAGGGACCTTCTGAGGTATCTTTCACCCCATAGTTCTGAGTCGAGCTTTGGTTTTGGGGCTTGGATTAAGGGACCTTTCAGAAGAAACTACGATCAAGAGTCAAATGATGTCACATGATGTCACAAGTGGGTGTTTTTGAAGGTGTTTGCTAGTCCTTGGTGTATTTTGTGTGTCTACAAAGGTCTTGTCGCCTGTTGCAGGTCTCTTACATGAGCATGAAGCACTTGAAAGCCATCAGCAGCGCTGAAGCCACGTGCCCATCGTCCAGCCTCAATCTTCAAAGTGTCCGCATCCGTGATGGGAGTGAACCTGAGCGTTGGGGGTGCACAGGGACTCCTGCAGGAACATCTGGGAAACATCAGGGAAACTACCCAGGAAGGGTGAGATGACATGCAATCTTCAAGCTCAGCGAGGCGTAATCAGTTTCCATAGGTTTGCCCCTCATGACCAAAAGCAAAAACAGATTCAGTTTGGCCTTCACAGCTGGAGGCACTGAAGAGCGTACTGAACTCAGTCTCAAAACCTCATCCACCCCTCAAAACCTCCTCCACCTGTCTACCCTCCCTCTTCCGCCTCTTCCCATCTCCCCCATCCAACGGCCACCGTCCGATGACCATCTCTGTTTTAGGCCCCAAAACGTCACTTCGATGGCCGAGATCTTGCCCGCGGCGTATTTGGTCCCCGTGAGCTTCACCTCCACCTGAGAGGCGCAAGGACCAAACACCTTCACACCCGACGTCCAGCACCCAAAGAAAGAAACCCGACGTCCGCGGCCAGGACGACTGGCCGGTGTTTTGGCTGCATGGGTCTTTTGGGGAGTCGCGTCAAGGAAAATCAAGGACAGTTGACAAGGGGCAAACGTCCAGGGTCAAGCTTATGTATATCCCATTACGAGGGGCCTTTGCGTGGATGATGATACGTTAGTAAAGGCCCAGGCCCAAAAATAGTGATGATCATCTGTTGGCCAACTGTTGCAGGTGTACTGGGGACCTCCACCAAATCTTTCAACCACCACCTGTCCGTGGCTCCTCCACCCACCGGTTTCGCCGAACATAGGCCGAATATCTCCAGCAGCGTGGAAGAAACACATGCCCAGTGGCATTAACTCGTCCAAAACACCAGAAGAAAAAAGAAGAAAAACACATCGCTGGTCAGTGGCTCCACACACCCGCTCTCACATGTTCTTTGTCTTTGCTTCAGTCTTTCGGCTGGCCCAAGTGGCATTCTCGAGCTGCGGGTTCACGTCCCATCCTCGATGGATGTGAGACGATTTCACCACGGTGCCCTTCATGTGAGCCACCTGCAGACGGGGCCGGGGCCGATCAGCTGAGCAGAGGGGGCGTTGTTGCAAGCGTTGCCGTCGCGGTTCTTCGTATTTGGGGGAGATGAAGGTGGTTTGGTAGGTGTTGTTTGGGCATTTTGGGGATTGGTCACTACTCACGACTATACTCACTATATCCGAAGTATGGTGAGAGGAATTGGAGCTATTCTCAGTATACAAATGATCGTTTCGCGCTGGGAGGTGATTGAAAAAGTATAGTGATAGTGACAAATCTCATCTTCATCGGTATGGTTACAGGCCAAAAGAAGAACATGGATAATGTAACAACAATAACAATAATACTCACCTTCAATTTCAAAGTGAACAGCAAAGCATTCCAAATCATTCCAGCCAACTCTATGCCCCCAACGCTGACCACTGAAAGTCATTGCAGGACAAACCGTGACGAGCCAAAATCCATGCGCTGCCAATCAGGATCAACAAGATCAGATCTGCAGAAGTAGTGAGTTGATCACTTGTAAAGAGCTTACATTTTGGAACCTGACCATCCACCAAATGCAACCCCTCGCTTTGGGTGGGGATCCAGTCAGGAATTCGCAACACGAGTGGTCACTAGCGCGCAACGTCGCGTAGGAGAGAGGGATGTGCCTTCCAATAGTTGTCTGTCAAGAAGGGCGTCTTCGAGGGATTCGCCGTGGCCACCTGCAAATCGACGGGATTTTGAAGCATCGGCCACGAACAAGCACTGAAAATGGTGTTCAACGAGTCTGGAGATTCCAAGCAGTTTTCAGATGTTTTCAGGAGACATTGGACTTGGCAAGAGCTAGAGGTAAAGCCTTGCCAAGTTCCTCAAAAAGATTATGGACGTCTAAGTGGACTCCCCCATGCACATATCCTATCTAAAAACCACATCCTGCGGTCCCCTCACCTTTGAACATCACTCCATGCCTTGTCCTCTTTCTGGGAGCCCCTATATACTCTACCATAACGGTCGCCGGTCCCTCTGGGTTCCCCCCTCCCCCACGGCATCGCGGCTTTGTCCCGTCCAACTCCGTCTGTTTGGAACCAACGGCCTTGAAGTGAAGGTCCTCATTCTGCGGATAAGCCGGATCCTTGGACTCATCGATGAGCCAACCTGAGTGTCGCGGATTTTCATCTCATCGCTCAGGTTCGATCGTGCAGGATTGGAGGGTTAAGGGTTAAGAGATGTTCAGAGATGTTATGGGTGTGTTTCTGGCTCTGGAGGTGGAGCTGAGGATGCTGGTGGTTTGTGTGGGGATGGAGAAGAGTCTTGATGCCATACACAAAAGAAGGTCCATATATATATATATATAGCGAGAGATGAACAAACTGATCTGAACAAAAGGTCATATGAGTTGTGTTGGCAACATCAAGAAGCAAGAATGACAAACAACCATGAAGTGGCAACTTGAAGTACTCACTGATATTTGATACAAATATATACAATCCCCATCAAAAAGGACATCTTGAGGATTGTGCCCTCTGAAACCACTGTAGATGGGAAGGATCACTTGCACCAACCCAAAGTCGGACGTTCACGAATTGCGAACACGCTCGGTCACACGAATGCTGCCGAAATAGCTTTAATAAACTGTACTGTATACCTGGAACCTTCAGCTAAAACGATCACTTAAGATGAAGGAATGCTTTCATGATGTGGAAACCTTACCGGAAACAAAGTGGAGACACCCCAAACACTTAAAAACACAATGGCAATGACGAGAACAAACTAGAAAAAAAAAGCCGTTCCGTTTCACCACCTGAAACGACAACGAAATAGAAACGATGCAGTGGGATCAAAAAATAACACAACCGCTCCATGTTGTGCCGCCACCACGAAGTGGTGTCTTCATTCCACACTGGAGTGCCACCCGCCCAAAGTGCCGCCCAAAGTGACGACCTGCTCTCCATGGGGGAAAAGGATTTTAGAGCTGGTGGTGATGGTCCATGAAAAAAACTAAAACAAACATATGTTGTTTTTTGACATGGAACTGAAACTACGGATTCCTCCTTGACATTTCAGAGTTGTTGGAGCCACTGCTGGTACTTGCATCCCTTTGAGTAGAACCCAATGAGAACAACGTGTCTTACATCATCCAAAAGCAGTCACACGATGGCCCATTCTTTGTTTTTGCATCTCATATATGGCTACCTTCAACCATCAAACCATCCAACATTCCCAACATAACCTCCGTGTCTGCATCAAGAATAGCCGTGTCTGCAGTGTGCCGTTCGCGAAACGCGCACCGTCTCCCACCACCCCGGCCGCACGTCTCCGGCCGGAGAAACGGATCGTGCAGAAGCTCGTCAAGGGATTGCAGGTGCAGCCCGGTTCGCCCGTCACAGCGAGCTGCACACCACCCACCCAACGGAACCTGAACGAACGGCGCTCGGGTTGAAGCGGATGCTGCGGGTGAAACGTGTGGAGAAGTGAGGAGAAGGATGTGCACATCAACTGGACGGCCCACCAAGCTTTGGGGTCAATCATGGGTAGACTGCCGGGTAGACAGGAAAAAACCAATGGTTCTGTGGTTTCCCTTCACAGGACGAATTAGATCGTTCACGCTAGTACCGTTCAGGTATTGAACTGTTGCTACAGAGGTGTGAAACCCCACCAAGTGAGCCCAAGTGAGCAGCCAAGGCCTTCCACCCCTTCTCATACTTTGGGAGGTCGCATTCCTGGAGGGAGCAGTTTGATACCAATGCCTGCCAAAATCTAGTCACCAAACAAAAAAGTAATCGCCGGTAACCCATGTTAACACATGTATAGAAATGGTTCAACTCAAAAAAAAACGAGAACATCTCCCAAAGTATAGACTCGACATAGACTTTGGAATACCGCGGATTCCACAAATGACAAACTGGACGTCCTTTGCGTTTGGAGACCTTCCCCTCCAACTCCCACTCCACCCAACACATTGCCGATCAGGGGCTCATTGCAGTTGCCCAGCTCTGGATTGCCGATCAGGTTGAAGTCCCTTGGGCCTTAGCAGGATGAAGTCTCTCAGGGCCATGAATTGAAAACGAGGCCAGGCAAAAGGTGAACCATCATGCAATTTGACGGGACTAAAATGAACAGGTTGAACTGACAACATGCATGCAGTCAGTTTGGAGTTCGCACATGAATAGCTGTCAAAGACCCAATTGTTCGATTCGGACCGGTGTTTTTTCTTGCGTCCTGCGTCTGGACCCCCGTCCTGTGATGTCACAGAGCTGTGAATCTAAAGGCGATTCGGCTCCACAAATTTTTAATGTGGACAAACATCTAACATCCACATCTCAGCTCCAAGATGGAACTTTCCCCAGGCAGCTTGTGCCCTCTCTGCTGCACTCGCAGTGCACACAGCACCAAAAAAAACAATTGAAAGATACTAAACCATGGTCTCGTGGTCTCACGACCACTTTCTGCAACTTCACTTCTCCTCTTCCTCCATCGCCCTCCTCTTGCGCTTGCCCCCTGTGGGGCGATCCGGCTCGCCCGGTCGCGGCTCGCCCTCCGTGGGGATCTTGCGGGGCCGTCCCCGCGGCCGCTTGGGCTGCTCGTCCTCCGCCTTGCGCGGCCGGCCCTTCTTCCTGAAAGCAGAAAAGGATCCGGTGGTCCGTTCCGAACGGGGATCGTTTGCGGAACGGAACGGGGGTTCGTTTGGTCTCGGTACACAGACTGAGGTGGAACGAACATGTGCTTGTTTGGGTAGACACAGCTGGATGCATCATTCAGTTGAAGGAGGTATGCGGCCGAACCTGCAAACCCAGATTTCGGAGGTGGTATGATTATAGAACATGCGTTTAAACAGTTCAAAAAAACTGATGGAAACAACATTGATGTTGGTTTGACATGAGTAAGCCACTTGAAAGGTTGCCAATTGCCAAAGTAAACAACGACACGTCGCTGCAACACTTAGCTGCTTTCGTTCACAAATGAACATGCCGGGTTGATCCAGGTTGCATGTTGCAGGAATCGAAGGCTCATTTCAGAAGAGGGGCTACAGCTAGCCAGCTAGCGCGTGCCAAAAAAATGGTTTTGCAAGGGACAAGTCACTTCTTGACTTTCTCCTGCGAAGGTTGCTCCAGGTTTGCAGCGTGCTCATTTCGCTTCTGCGGGGTGCGTAGAAGAACCCCGCCGCCGACGTACACCTTAGATGCTCGGTCTTGTAAGACTAGGACCCAATCAGACCGTTGGTACCTCGAAGGTCATTGCAACTGACTCTATATTTGTGGATCTTCATCGAATAAATATTATACTAAATAAAAATACATCAATCAGACTTTGACACATGGTCCATCCACTGGTTATGACAAGTCGCATGCGAGAAGCACCTCCGAGGATGTTCCACCTCATCTTCCGTTGTCACCTTGCTCTGCTTGAGGGGCGCAAATGGCAGCAGCTGCTGCCCCTTCACCTGCTTCTGCCTTGCTTTCATCTCGCGTAGGCCTAGGCACTGAAGGTCGGCGAGCAAACGCCACCGGACTCAGGCAAACCGGGCATGAACCGATCACCCGCCATGAAACGGTGCAACGCGTCATACCTGTGAAGGCCGTGAAGGCATCAAGCGCATGGCTACTAAGACCCAGCCAAGCAAATGGAAACGAACCCGGACACACTCCCACCATATATCATTAACCGACAGCAGACTTAAGACGTAAACGTCTGCAACAGAAGGTGCCTAAACTGTACCCCTCTGTATCCGCTGTCTTAGAAGCCTTAAGAGGACATGAAGGGTCTTGGACGACGAGCATGCCCAACACCTCCCACCGCCTGCCGCTGACCCAGTCTACACAAGCGCAAGCAAAAGGCTCGAACGCAAGCTGCCCTTGCAGATCTGCCCATTCGTCGCACTGGCTCTCCACAGATTCGGGCGGCTGTTGCGATAGCCTGACGAGAGTTCATCCAGAGCAAAAGACACCAATCAGTTGGGTGCTTTCTGTTTGTTGCCTTGGAACATGACCGCTACATTGAAAGAGAACAAGTGATTTCGGTGTAATTATATACCTTAGAGATTCCATTATGTTCAATGGGTGTCTCGTGTGAAGCAGCCTTGCCTCCCAGGCGAGGGTGCTTCGTTTTCGCTCGCAAGGCATAGCCGCAGTTTGCGCACAGCTCTGCGACGCGGTCGCTTAGCCGAGTTCCCAAGCCCATTCCTGCAAATGCATTGCATGCGAACTTGAGCACTCAAGAGGAACAGATTTTTTGGCCAAGCAAAGAGGGCAGGAATTCAGATGGAGACCTTCCGGTCACTACAGAAAACCGAGATGCATGCCAGTTGAAGAGCTGCGGACGACCAAATACCCGGCTCCTTGGAACTCCGGCAGCAGCACCACGCGTGCTTCACGTGGTGCTCCGCAGCCAGTCTGCCACGCGATGGCATGAAAGCCAACCGGAAGCCTTAGACATATTGCGCCTGAGCATGTCTTAGAATGCATGGGTTGGTGGGTGGCCTCACAAGAAGTCAGCTGCCAAAGGCTTCGACCACAAGATTTCGACAAGAAACTGCTGCTCATCTCGCACCAACAAGCCCCACATCAGAGGCAATCCCTGCTTCAAGTAGTGGTGCTCTTCAAAGGTGCCCTGAAGACCGGCGTAGACCGGCATCAAGACCGGCTATAAGCTCTCGACCCCGAAAACACGCTGACTTCTGAATAATTTGGGAACTCCCCAAAAGTGGGTCCAGCTAGGAACAGAATTTCAAGAGGCTACAATTAGTCCTTCACCACGGTTCTGATTCATGGAGCGGTGGGCTGTCCTATATACCCTCTCAACACAAGCTTGCGTGGCATCCTATAATCTCTCAACACAATCCATTAAGAATTGATGAAGCCTGCTGGTATAGTTTCTTTCTTGTTCTTTTCAATTCCTTCAACTTCACTCAAAAAGTATTTTCTCGAAAGATTCCAATGCGGTGGCCATGCCTTGAAAACCTCGTGGGTGTGCTTGGAGTCGCGGAGACGGGCCAAGGTGAAGGTGCGCACCGGCGGGCAGAAGTAATCCACTTCAGGCAGCTCAGGTGGCTCTGGACCTTCAGTTTTGGCTGAAACAGTCTGACATGACTTGCCAAAGTCAAAGTGCCATATCAGGCTGGAACAAGCCAAGGATTTACGTCATGGCTTGGCCTGTCACATGTTAAGCACCAGCAAAGCCATGTTTGCATGTTGTTGCGTGGCAAAACGTGCACGCTCTTCAGTCCCCACTCCAAGGGCAGTGCTCTGAAGAACAGCCAAGCTGCACTCACAAGGACCGCTGAAGGTGAGGAGCTCCGCGTAGTCCGATCTAAAGCACCAATCCGCTCGGAGGTGTTTCACCACATCCGTCTGGATGGTGGCCACAACCAGTTGAAGCAGATTCTCCCGCACCTGGGTTTAACATTTCAAGAAATGGAATCAAACACTGGAGTAATATGCTAAGGCATTGAACGTTGCTGGCTCTTCCTTCAACGGCTCAATACATGTCCAGCAAACCAGCTGTTCTAGGAAACCTACGCACATGCCTTCGCACATCCGCGCTTGGAGTTGCAAAGTGCACTCAACCGTGACAATGTTTTTGCACTGCCACTTCTAACCTTCCAAAAAAGGAGTTGCGTCGAAAAGGGGGGGCGATCCAAGCAAGTGAGGACACTTTGCAACCAAGATGATACTAGCTAGCGGACGAGTCTTATCTACCACCTGCTGGTTCCTCAGACTTTTCAGGGTCCATGTGATGCTTCTATAGGGCTGCTTTGAATTCCGCTTCTTGTTGAGGGAAGAACTGGATCTGTCGCCCCCTCCTATCCACCAGAAAAAGCAAGCCACGTGCTCACCATGTGCCCAGTAGCTATAAGCAAGACCGTGAAGGAGTCGACGCATGCGGCCCAGGCGCGTAAGAGGCGACCGACGCGCAAAGCCTGGCTGCGAGGGTCCGATCCAGCACGGACGTGAACTCATCCGCCAGCACAAGGCGATTCTCCGGCCGCGCCAGCCGGTAGGCCAAATCGGCCTGAGGAGGAGCGGAAGGTGTCTGCGCGGTGTCTTGAAATCAGTGACCTTGTAGTCATGGAATTTAAATGTCGTTCAATGAAGATGGACCGAACCTTCCGAGAACCGTAACTTAAAACAGAACAAAATGAAACTCAAACACATTGGCTGGTTCTTCCTATACATCTGGTACATCAGTTACATACCTCCAGGGTTTGGTGCTGGCGTCTGGACTAACCCCTTCTATACAGCGCAAACCCTTCAAAGAGTCAACAGTTTGTGGAATCACTCTCCAAAGTTTGGAGGCATATAACTATAACTTGTTTGACTGATCAGGATGAACAAGTTGCACTAGAGTTGGCGTCCGTCCTGTGTGCTTCAAACACTGAATCACAAACCGAAAAAAGAAAACTTACGCCACACCACGGACATGCTTGCCCAAGATGTTCACACGTCCGTCCCATGTCAAGTTCCAAGCTACAATACAAACGCGAACTTCGGCCCACAAGAAAACCAGTATCCCAACAAAATCAACCAGTATGCACGCCCATCATGCCCCTGAATAGTAACGAACCTCTTCGATATTGTTCCATGGCTATCCCAACAAACAGCAACCATAATATCCATAACGCATCCATAACACATGCCCCTCACGCCCCGGATGGTACCCCGAGTCTTGCTGCTGACCCCTCTCATCCCATCTGCTCACATGGGGCATGCCTGCATCTTCTCACCGGCTGAGAGCTCATGGAAGAACCGCTGCCTCGCAGGCAAGGGCAGCAGCACCACATCCAGCAAGTCCTGAGAAATCCGGAGACTCCTGGTGTCAGACTTGTCCAGTGAAGAAGCGCCCTATGAGTGACCAGCAACTGACATGCGAAGAGAGTTGGCTTTTGGTCTCATCCTTCAAGTGATTTATGAAAGGTACCTATATGCCAGGCTCAACTTTTTGTTGGGATAAGAAGCGCGAGGCCATGATCTATTGCCTTGTGAACTTGTGAGCCCTTCTTGGAAGCTGCCTCTTTTGTGTGGAAAGGAGGTGACACAAACCGTATTTGCGAAAAGCCCAAGGTCATTCTCTAGGACCCATCAAGTCTGTCCAGCGAGTGTGAAAGGAAAAAGGATCACAAGCACCGAGGTTGCCAGACATCAGGTTTGTCAGGACAACTATGTTGCTCAGGGTGTGGGAGGATTGCATGGATCTCGCATGCTCTTGCCGGCCCAGCTGTAGCAGGACATGACGCGTCCTCCAAAGTTTGTCAACCTGTGCGATGTAAAAACGCTCCCCGGCCACACCGGCCAAGGAACAGCAGCAACTTGCTCTCCCACCGGTTTGTCAGCCTTCCACACGATCTTCGCCTGTGAGCGGCATGGGGATGGTCTGAAGTGCAAGAAGCCCATGGAAACACATGTGCAAGGAATGATCCACGAGTGGCCTGGAGTCACAAGAGCACAGCTTCAGAAAGAGAGCATGAAAAGGGCTTGGCTCGAACGATGGAGTGCCAGAAAGGCACTGGAGCCTCAAAAGGTGAAAGAGAACTCAACAACACACTGTCAGTATTTTTGTTGAAACCGAAGACATGTTGCATTCCCATTCCGGTTCCGGATCGCCACTGAAGCCACCAACGAGGCAGGCTATAATAGCCAAAAAACGGGCTCTGCAGCGGACGTCCGTCACCGACCGGCCGAGCCTCCTGTCCAAGGTTCCGGAGGTTCACGGACTTGCCGGAGCCGCTCGGCCCGCAGAGCGCGCCGACGCGCCAGCCGCCTGTCGGTGGACGGTCACAGCGCGGAAGGCGGAAGCTCAGGCCGTGGCCGGAAGAAGTGCAACTCACCCGTGCAGATTCATGTGGAGAGAATCAGGCGAAGGAGAGTGAAGAGAGTCTCGAATCAGGGATTGGTCAGGCCATGTTAGGTTGATTTGTACATGTGCTGTACTTGACTAGGGTGACCCTTGACTAGGGTGACCTGTGTTCCAGTTTCTTTGACACAACCATGGCAGCTCTCGGTGCTCAATACCTTGCATTGCACAACGGTTTTGTGCAAGACGGACGAGCGCGAGGGAAGCGCACGCCACATGGGCCAACCGGTTCTTGAGAGCTGACTGTAGGTCATGGCACCCGGATCCACAAGCCCTGGCAGGTTGACCTGGCAGGTGTCTACTATTCTTTGAATATATCATATCCCAGGGACCAGTGGATGATGATGGTTAGTCACGGGCTTTCTCTTTTCATGGGACAAACCCAACCTAACTAGTCTATATTCATTGTCGGTGGTCAACCAGAGTCCCTGGGTTTTTGACTAAGTGGTTTATCAAACTCAAAGGCTGGCCTGGCAAACACTGAGCCTTTATCAGGTGGACTGTCTGCGTGACTGTCCTGAGCAACAATATCTGAAGATCTTTGAAGACTTCTTCCCTTGGAACGCTTGCACTATGGTATGCTTTGGGTCTATCCTAGATAGTGATAATTGTCAACTGACTGTTACAGCTACAGGTAACTGTTGACTGATTGTTTGCTGAGCGTTTGCTGACTGACAAATCTAAGGTATGCTATATGCTGCTATCCTTTCTCTTCACGCCAAGCGTCCCTTTGAAGGTGTAGTCAAACGCATGAGCTGCTTCGGCCGTTCGTTCGGTCTCCTTCACGGTCGTTGTGAAGCTTTTGGCCACCGTTGCGAACTGCACCTTACGTGCCACGGACGCTGCGGGGACAGCTCCAAAGGATGCTGGACGCAACTTCCTACAGTGGGCCATCAGAGTAGATGATAATCCCCAAGACATGGTTTATCTGATTTTATGTGCACCTCACACACACAGACAAACAAAAAAATACATCTTGGGGGTTGCGCCATCTACCCTGACACCACTGTACTTGTGAATGGCATCGATGAATCGTGAACACCAACATCTATGGCACAACATATCCGACTCAGGCCGACTTTCTCAGCAGACGCACTGTGTGTGTGTGTAAACAACCACAGCAGCAATATGTGTGTCAACAACTTTCAACACGCACATGGCTGCATATGGTCTAGCTAGCAAGTCACAAGGGGTATAGAAGTAGCGTGGGGGATGTGGAAGTCGCCTTCGTCTTGTTGTTAATTAGGCAATAATTACAAGCACAACCAAAACAACGGTGTTGGAACTTCCGACCATGGCCTCGGACGTACCCCAACAGAAACCAAAGCGTTCCCCATGAAACCCAAAAGCGAAGGCCAAAGCGCGGTTGTTGAAGGTCGGCCGTAATCCTCTGCTTTCCGCATTGGAGCACTGTCCAAAGGTCCCTGCCAGCCGCTGCAGCCCTTGCCGAAGTTGAACTTCAGCTCCTCGTGCTCAATCTTCACAACCATCTTGCGCTCTGCAAACTCCAACGGGTTGTTGTGGATCTTTCCTGTGGCAGCTTCTATCACAATGTCGGCTCCCAAATAGGGGATGACATCAGGCCGCGTGGTGGCAACGATGATGTAGTTCAGGCCTCAAATGAGAAGTGATTGACACACGTAACGTAGGCTCAATAGGCAGATCGGCAGATCGTTTCGTTTAGTGAGGGGAATTGACACAAACAAGTACAAGATTTGAAACATGATAGGAAATGATAGGAACTCTCTTGTCGCAATGAAATGGCACCTCGTATGGTCACCATCAGTCAACTGTCAACAATAATTTGGGCCAAAAAGCCTTCATTGTCTCTCACCAGTCTGTAGATGCTTGCCGCGCAGGAGTAGGAGCTCCTCAGACACAAGAAGTGGCAGTGAAGGAGGGCAAGACTGATCCACGTGAAGTTGAGTTCCAACACCCTGGATGAAGAAAGGGTTCCCTGTTTCAATATGCATCCACAACAATTCCACATGTTCTCTTAGAAGATCTTAGCAGCATCAAGGATGCTTGTTTCTGGCTGCCTGGCTCCACATCGCCTCTGAGGAGATGGCTTTGGGGAAAACTAGCATAGAGGTCAGATCTGCCCCTGACCTTCTGACTAACATGCCGAAAAGCATGGGGGGTTCCGGATGAAGCCCGTCGACCATCCAAGAGAGCTTGAGAGACCTTACAGAATGCTCTAGTACGCTAATATAGGAATGGGACTAGGACTGGTCGCAAACACGGGCTCCACAAAATACCAAATGATCCAGGAAGAACCACATGAGGCCGTTGCTTTTAAGCTCCAGATCTTCAACATGGATGTCTCTCTGCTCTTGGCCATGCCCCCTTCAAGGGGCCCTTCCGGCCTGGATGAAAACAGCTGATTGGACTCCATGGTGGAAAAACACACAGACACGAGACAAATGGAGAACACCTCAGAAAGGGCACCAGTGGATCCCCAAACGTCCAAACAAAATCTTCAAAAACATGTTGAAAGTCATTGCCCCCGAGATTCTGCTGGTCCACGAAGCAGCAGAAATCGTCGTAGAGAATGCCTTTGCTCTCTGAAGATGCTCGGATGGCGCTACGGATCCGTTGCTGCTGTCCGGTGCTCAAGGCCTTCTCCGCCTTCATCCAGCTGGGTACGCTGTTTAAGCCCACGGCCTGCAGCTTCTCCAAATAGTCATCACCTAGGGCTGGATGGCTGCAGACCGCCATGTCGTCTTCGAAGACGATCTGCTCAGAGCTGACCTCCAGCTGGAAGTACTCCACCTGGCCGTTGACGGCGTTTCGCAGTGCAGTCATAGCAGTGATGAGCCCTGGCAGTGGATTGGACTTCTGTAGAGCTGTTTGCTGGCCTTTCTTTTTTTGTACCACTTGAAGTTCTGATACATGATATTAATATTACGAATATAAGGCAAACTGTGGAAGAAAAATGAAGAACTAACTAGTACGCAACTTCCTCGATGGAGATTTAAAGCCATCACAGCAAAGGAGACAACTAGGAGAACTCTGGCGCTACATGATACAAAGGGCCATCAAATCAATTCTTTCTCTCCCACTCTCTCAGATTTTGAGGCTTCAAATCCAGCTCAACTGCCAAACCAATTTAACTGATGTCCCTTCCCCATTTTGACCAAGCCCTTCGGTCACCCCACCAGCTGCTGAACGATGCGCGTCTTCCCACTTCCGGTGGCTCCACACACGACCAGAATGCGGAAGATCTCTGGGAGGGATTTCAAGGACTCGGGCGAAAGAGGCCCTGGAGGGATTTCCATTGGCTTCGGATGGCCACACGGGCCGAGCGCCACCAAGTGGAGTATCCAAAAAAGGAGATCCTGAGATCCTTGGCCGATATGCCGAACTTACATGCTTTCTTGAAGTAGAGTTGACTGAAAGTTGACTATATATAGTTGACTGATGTGCATCACATGCGTTTTCCACCAAACTGCACAGCTGGGCGGAGTCGCATGTCTAAGATTGTCTGAACCTCTATAGCCGCTATAGCCCTTCTTTGATATCATGTTGTGTTCAGTGATTCCGGCTGCTTAGCCCGGCTGCTGCTTGGCTGCTTAGTTCTGCTCAGCCCGGCCGCTGAGCTGCTGGGTTCATTCCCATTTTCTTGGATCTCTCGGTGGCTGCGAGGGCGAGTTTCGGAGCCGTGATCCGCGAGTTCCCGGTGGTTGGGGGAAAATACAAAGCGACTATGAAGCGCCAGCATGCGCCAGCTGCACCTCTCGGTGGTCTGAGAGGATTTGCCGCTGTACAAGTCTAACTTATAATCACCAGAAGGGTTACGGGCAACTCCCTGGAAAGAGTCCCGAAAGGAAGACCAGTGGCTCCGAATACCAAAACAGGTGGTGCCGTCCAGATTCCGTTGCAGGATCAAGATCTTCAAGTCTTTGAGTTTAACAATCCCCTGAACCCCTTAGGGGTGGAGTCTAGTCTGGACTCGGTGGACTTCTTGGACTGTTGGTCGCTCATCTCGACTCATCTGGTTGACAGCAACACAACGTCGCTCCTGGCTCACCCAAGCACCGCCGAAACAGCTTGATCGACCCGAAGCAAGGGATGTCAACCGAGCTCCCATGGCCATGGTCGGGGAGGTGCCATGACGGAAAACCGTCCAATACTCTCCCTAGAACTACAGTAATGGAAGTGGAAAAAACCACCTAGTTTGTAGTGGATTTCATGGTCTTCCGAACTTGAGGTCATGCCATCCAGGTATCCATGTGAGTTCCAGGGAGCTCTCAATTCCTTCCCCACCCCACCCCATGCCTTTCTCACCCCACCCTCGGCCGCCGGCCGGTCACCAAGATCTCGTCACCATCCTCACTGGATCGGCCGGGTGCTTCCGACGATGCCGGTCGACTCAACGAGTCTTCACGGGGTCGTCGCCGAAGGAGTCGGAGTCCGAGTCCAACGGAGCCACCAGGACCATGAGAGAGAAGCACTTTGGATACGATACAATAGCGTTACGTTCCCTTTTCCAGCAAATCCCAACACAATCCCAACGCACACACACATATATAATATATAGCTATAATGAAGTCCAAGCTCACGGTGGCCAGCTGCCAAAGCTCATGGTCATGGCTTCTCACCTTTCTTTTTCCTTGTTTTACCATGCGCATGAACCCGCTCAGCTCGGGCTCCACACACGACCACACGCCGACCCCCAAGCAAGCCACGACCAACCACCACTCCTTTTTTTTCCGGCGGAATCGGCAATCGGCGACCGCCACATTCGGCGACCGCAGGCGACCGCGCCTTCATGGGATCTGGGAAGTTCAACAAAATGTCCACATCATTCACCTGGTCGGACGACCGCACAGAGAGAAGGACCGGACGGAACCGAAACAGAAACCGGTCGTCCGGATCGACCGAATTCGTCGAGGGTCGGCGGAGCTGGGCGCCAACCGTGGGGAGCCAGACATGAGGAGCGAGACACGGATGTTGTGAGCCGATGGGAAGGGGCAGAGGCGGACCTGGGTTCTTGAACCACAGTCTATGAGTGAGTGAGTGATGATTATGACCAGAGACCAGTGTGAAAGTAGGACCTTCGTTGACGCTTGTAGGCCATAGGTGAAAAGCCGATCAAGTTCGTTGCAACTGGGCAGGGTTCAGGCAGGGTTCATGGACTGCCGCTAAGGTTAACGACCCCCAAAATAGTGACTTAGTGGCAACTTGACCCGGTTGACCCTTCTTGTTCATTCAAAGCTCAAAAGCGCCTTGGTGTTGCCATTGAGCACATTGTTGGTGTTCCTCAGCGCAGCTGCAGCGAACGAATGGGGGTAACTGGTGAAAATGCGGCAGCTGATTTGGAGAATTGCAAGCCTTCCTTCCACACACCTGACCCACTTGCTTCTTCTTGCTTCAGTTTACTTGCTTGTTCCTTCTGTCCAAGGCGTCACAGCTGTGGACCAGCAGCTTTTCAAGTGTTCAAAACTGATGGACATATCAACTACCGTCATTTCTATGTAGTGGAAAGGATGCAACTGCTATTCCAAGGAATTTGGACATGGTACACTCAATTCTATTGGCATCCTTGGAATCCTTTCTGGGATTTTGACTGTCCCAAAACATGGCATGCCATGCGATGAAAACCCTCTGAGTGCTGGACACGACCTGGAAAATGTTCAGCATGTTGTTGACATTGTAGCCCGTGAACTGAGCAAATCCGTGGATGCACAACAAAATGGCACACATACACAACTTTTTGTGAACAGCGAAGCAATTATAAATCTGTTCTTTTTTTAAATAGGGTTTTGATAGGGACATTCATGGATTCTCATGCGGGAGGTCATCATAGATTTGCAGTCACTTTCATCGTTGGAGACCTACTGACCTACTAACTCCATCGTTCCATATATATACAAAAATTCCATACAAACTCCCCATGCCGTGCCCTTCAGGATGGCCTCGGTATACCGTAATATTAATACTTTGTACTTGTCATGAGAACATGAGAACATCAGGAAGATAGGGAGATCCTGCCGGAGCTCGGTGCCAGGGCTCTCCAGCTCGGAAAGATTTGGGGCGCGACAGGCGTAGAAGTCATCCCTGTTGTGATCCCCCCAAAAAGCATTTTGAACATCCGTTAATTCCTATTCACACGAGACCAGGGAGACCAGGTGTTAACCCACTTTCCAAGACACACGTACACCATGCAGCTTAGCCAACACTATGTTCAAGTTCACTGATGTCCTCACAAACACAAAAAAGGGACAATGAGTACGAAGATAAGAACAAACCAACTTACACCAGCAATCATGTTTTAACTTACACCCAGGAAGGTGAACATGGTCTCTGATAGCATGGACCAGACTGGAAGACTCTATTCCTCTACAAGCCAACGTGGTTACCCAACGTGGTTTTCAAGTTCCACGTGACACCCTCAGTTCCGAATCCAAAAGGAGCCTAAACCGCTTGACCCATCGGCGCCTCAGTCTCGTCCAGCGCGGTGTCAGGCTCTGCAGAGAAGCGCTGGAAGGTGTCCATGCGCCTTGGGGTGGATGGGACGCCCCATCTGGGGTTACCCCGGTCATTACATGCTCCAGTAGAATAAGGAGACCTCCGAACCAATTCTGGGTTTGGGGATGGTTGGATGGTTTTAGATGGTCCTTAGGTGGCGAAATAATCCATATAAAGCATCACTGCTTCTGTGGAGACCCGCCATGGGCCCCATGGGTCTTCCCAGGGGTCTTTGGCGGTCTCCATCTTACAATACACACATCCAGATGTCAGATATGTGAGGATGTGAGATGTTGTAAAATCTGTCCCCCAGGAGATTCATCAATATACCAATTGTGTCTGCTTGATACACTTGCTGAATCAACACTCTCATTTCGACACAGGTCTTGTGTCTGCCTGATGTGCATCTGCAAACCCCAGAACCTGAGGACATCGAAGGACCACAAGACATCGAAGGACATCGCAGGACCCAGATCATACTAGATCCAAGGTCGACCCTTCGATGTCTTTCCGAAGTCTTTGACCTCGTGGCCTATGCCTAGCCGCGTACGCCGACCGGCCTTAGGCGTCAGTACGCCGTCCGCGGCGTCGGCTGTGCGCGGTGTTCTGCGGTGTTCACCGAGGAGCCAAGTGGAGGCCAAGGTGGAGGTGGGCGGGTTGAAGACCCACACGATCAAGGTGTACCTGCCGAACGAGGGCCCATGGCATGGGGCGCGGCCGCGGCTGGGGCGAGGCGGAAAGGGGTGAAGCGGAAAGGGGGGAAAGGGGTGATAGGGTGTGACAGGGACTTATGTAGTGGTGAGGAAAAGAGGGTGACACACGTGCTTGGCCGGTCTTGGTGTAGAACGATTTTGCCTGTGGCGATGAGTCAAAGCGCTGCCTGGGCCATTCCGCTGCCTGTCTTAGTAGTCTTTGAGCCTCAAAGAGGACTGTGTCGTGCTTGGGTGTTGTGGTAAGTTATGGTGGCAACCAGGCTGGAGTCCCAGGAGCTTTGCCCCAAAATCATCATCCAAGTTAGTTGTGATCAACAATTGACACCCAATGACCACGCATGACTCTTCCAATCGATCCCTTTGGAGATGACGGGGATGGGACGGACCATCATACAGAAACAACAGTGAAACGACATAAGACCAAGACATAACCTCATGAATAACTCATTTACCCACCAACAGACTTGCCCACCAACAAACAGGGTGTTCTCCAAACGAATGCCCGCCAACACCAACTTTACTTGACACCACTAGCATGCGCTAGGCGCTGTAGGAGCGCACGAGAAGGCGCCGCGGATGGACTTGTCTCCCGCCATGTACAACAACTGCTTCACGGTGTTCTCCACCTGTCAACACGGTGTGGCCACGCGGTCTGGAGTCTGCTGGAGAGGAAACCGTGATGGGGGTCGAGACCTGGTCGCCTGGTGGCTGCGCACTGTTTCATACAGCGTGACCCAGTGAGTCTGATGGGTTGATCTTTGTTTAAAATGTGTTTGTGGTAAAACCCCATTGGTTCTTTATCTTGCCAATTGTTTTTTGCCAATTGGCAAGATAACAATGTTTGTTGATCATCATATGTTGCCAATTTTTGTTGTCTTTGTGCAAAATGGACGAATCTCGTCGTGTCCAGCACCCGGAAGCCGAGCGCAGGCCATGCGCAGGCCATGCGGTCACAACACCCGTTATAAAAGGAGTGGTGCATCCGGACCTAGTGGGTGAAGGAACCAATTTAGACTTAGATTAGAGTCATAAATGGATATAAATGGAGTACAATGTGTATGTAACGATTCCAGTGCCATGGATGGTCTGGGAAATACTGAACAAATGGCCTCTTCGCCTGCTGTGTCCATGTGCCACTCCGTGGCCAGTTGCCCAAGAATGACCTAATTTCAAAGGTAGCGGGTTCCTCTCTTCCTGTCCATGTTTTGGGGGATGAAATGCACCAATTATAACTCAACTGCAAAAAGCAGTCGCAAACCTGGAGTCTTTGGCTTGAGCACAAGGAAAAGTCGTGATGAACGCTGGATATCCATGGGTCGAACATGAAACCCCCGTCCCGACCGAACATGAACGCCTGGCAGTAGTAGTCCGTGGGGAGGAAGACTTCGGAGCGGTCGCTGATGAAGAGCTGCACCTGGCGAGTCACAAATCGGAGGGATCTCGGAGGAGTC